GATAAATAAGGATTATTTTGAACTGTGAATCATTTGAGGATATTAATAAGGCTCATTCAAATATATCGATGATTACTGTCTCAGACTGACAAAAATCTCTATCAATAGTATCAAAAATCACTTCCTGCTACAAAAGCAGGCAGTGTGTTCAGCCAGTGGTGGCTACATTTCATGTCAGAATATTATTAAATCAGCTTAAAACAAAGACTACCTTTTAAGGAAGATGGAAGCTGCAGACATGCATCTAACATGCAACATCTACATGCGTACATCTGTAGCTGCTTCTGCTTACATTCTCCTCTCAAGCTACCTTACTAATCTGCACCTAATGTTATATTTCCTGTGTTTCTTTTTTCCAAAGCATGATCCAGAGAAGGCACAGGATAGATGTTTTTTTTACCCCCCGATTTTCTTTTTCTATGTCAAATATGAATAATTACTTTCAATTTCCCCACACCTTCTAAAATAAATTGAATTTAAAGAACACCGAATTCCTTTTATGCACTCAGACACGTCCATCTTCCTTTTTCCATCTTCCCAGGTGTGAAAATCCGCCCGTACTCTGTCACTCCAAAGTGCAGACTCGATAATGAATGACTGCAGCGTCGTCTCTGAAGCCTGTCGTTTGCTGGAAACATCTCGCATCACCAACTGACGTTCAACTTACAGGATCCATTTCCAGTTTTTTGTGTGAGGCTCTTTTCACTCGGGCTTAGGAGGCTTATCACATCACTGCCTGTAAATTACTCGCTGTCTGCTTTGGACGTTGCACCACATCCTGATGTGATGGTTTCTCATCAGTCTGTCAGAAGCCTTTGATGCAGCTGATACCTCCTTATTTCTATCCAGATTGTCTTGTGCTATCAGAGCAGATGCTGCACTGCAATATGTTCACGTGTAAAAGAAGCAAATGTTGGTCTGAAGAATCGCCGCTGTGTTTTTAATTTGAAGCGATTATCCAGCGTGAACTCTGCTGTTTGAAGTGGATGCAGTCTTCGTTTACAGCACCAGAGTCATGCAGAAGCATTGAATCAAGGATGGAAACAGGACGAAGTTGCCGTAGAAACATGATGTGACTGATAATGCAATTCTGTCGTGTTACAGAGGAGGAATAATCCAGAATAATGTCAAACAATAGTGATGATAAATTATCAAATTTGTGCCACATTTTTCAGAACAAGGCTCCAAAGTGCAATCGAGTAAGAGAAACAACGTGCCAAAAACAGGAAACTAGATTTCAAATAAGACTTCCATCAATAATTCGATGAAGGAAGGAGAAGCTTGTGTTGTGAAGCAATGAAAGAATAACTGCTTTTCTAAAAGAGGAAACTATTCTAGCTGTTTTCATGTTCACAGAGACATCTGACAGCATGATCAGCTTTAATACAACAAAACTAACCTGCAAAAAATCTGTAACCTGTTAGAAGCTGAGATTAATCTCTAAATTTCTGTCTTCACTAAGCCTTTATTCTGCTTCATCCCATTGAAATAATAATTATGTAATATATATATGGAATATCATCTTTGTTGAGCCTGAAAGTTCAAACTTATTTATGAATTTAAAGTTAGAATTTAAAAAAGAAATGGAAGAAGAGAAGTTGCAGAAACACGTGTGTGCATGTTTGTGTGAATATGTCTGCAAAAAAGCAACTGCATGTCAGGTTTAGTGATGGAGGACCCCAAATGCAGACTCCTAGGCTGATGTCACATGTTATAGATGGAAACCTGGCCCATGAGAAATCACAGGAACTCTAGACAGACACACAGAGAGCTATGAAACGAGACGACGGGGGCAGTAACAGTACAGGAACAGGATGATACGACAAAAAACTAAGGGGAAATAAGGGCTATAAACACATATAAGGTAATTAGGACGATGGGAAACACCAGGAAACACAGCTGGAACTAGTCGGGAAGACTTGGAATGGGAATCAAAACCAAATACAATGTACACGTGATAGCAGAGTACCAAAAATCAACAGGATGTCAGGTCTGCTCTTGCTCTTGACGAAGGCGGTCCCACTTTTCTCCTCTCCTCCTCCTCCTCTCCCTTAGCTTCCCTGCTTAGCCTCTTATGTCCTTGTCTAGTCTCGAGTTTTTTGTATTACTTTTCCCTGGAACACTCTCTCACAGTCTGTTCTCTAAAACCTAAAAGAGGAATTATGGATTTGATCAACTGGTCCCTAAATGCAATTGACACCCCTTTCTCAATGAGAAGTTTGGGCTCGGGTGAGCCTGAGTGCTCAAGATATCTACCTATTTGGAACCATAGTAACAGGGTTCTGGCTGATCGGAGCTGGCTTGGCCCTGACTTATCGAAGAATTAAGAAAGCGTAACCGGCTGTTCAAACCCCCACAAGGCTGCCCGCTGGGATTGAAACGATGGGAGAGGCGTGAGTTTCTCAAAATGGGCTCATTGAGTGCAGCACGGATAAGATCTTGGAGAAGCTTACGGCTGCTGTGAATACTCAGAATAAGATCTCTGAGTGCAGACTGGATACACCTTGGAGGGGCTCGCTCGGAATAACATCTCTGAGCGCAAACTGGATTACATTTTGGGAGGCTCACTGTGGTCGTGAGTTCTCAGAATCTGCTCTTTGAACACAAGAATGACAACATCACAGAGCGCAAGTTTGATAACATCATGGAGAAGCTCATGGCTCTCCAACGGGAGATTGAGAGACCAGTGTTGGACTGTTAAAACAGCTTTGAAATTCATATGAGCTGTTCGCACTAAAGTAAAAAGCACCATCACTTCATGCGGAAACCCTCTTGGCGCCAGCTGCGGTCTCAAGGCTGGAGCCGAACAAAAACACCCTGATAACGACTGTGTTTAGTCTTTTTCTTCCCATTCCATGCAAGGCCACCTGGGTTGGCTGGAAGACTGTTTACTTAGCTTAGCAGGGTGAAGGACACTGTCTCAGCTGAACTCTGGAAACCCACACACATACATATACACTGATATGCACACACTCATCCCCCTCCCTTTCCAAAAGCCTTCGATGCTTGTTCCCTACTGGGGAACACGGCGGGTCTGAGCCCGCGCTGGAATGGCAGCGCTGGGCAGGATGGCTGCTGTGTTTGCTTCGGATTACTCCTCACCCCCCACCCGACCCTGTGGCTTGTCACGTGTTCCATTATGTTGTGCTGTGGACATTTATGTGCTTTTTTGTGCAGAGGAGTTTTTTTGTTTCCTGTTCTCATGCTGTCCTGCCAGGAGCCCAGCATGAGTAGAGGTCTCTTCTTTTCCTCTTGTACTTTCCCATCGTAGTGTATATTTCAGTGTTTTTTTTCTGTAACGCTACCGATCTCCGACCTGTATCCCCATGTGATGTCTGTGTTGTGTGTGTGAGGTCGGGGGGGGGTCCTATTTCACTGCAGGACAACCTGCACGTGGCGAATAAAGCCTTCATTAATTGATTGATTGATTGATTGATTGATTGCTGTGTGGCAGTAAGAGTAGGACCCAACTGTAGGACTTGGAGACAAGAGATTACCTAAAAGAGGCAGTTTTGTTGTAGAAACACAGAAATACAAAAACCCAAAAACTCAAGCAAGAAACTACTTCTGTGATTTCTTTGATCTCTTTGATTTTTTACAGTTTCTCTGACTATTGCTCAGACATCCACTCCTAGGAAAATTGTGGTGTTGTGTTAATAAACACTCGCTTGGTCGCACTTGCTGATGATCAGTTAATCAGCTACATTTGATTATTAATGCCTGGCTGCTGCTTCCCCTTTAAAATCCCATAGAAGCATTGACCACATTATTTTTATTATCGCACGATACACGAAAACTTGAAATTCATAGAGGCTGTATTTTCATTTTCCAAGGACTGCAAATGGGATGGAGTGAAAGTAATGCCGGTTCATTAAATCCAGACGTATTCATGTCTGATTGTGCTCGAATGGTTCATTTGAGTAAATGATTTGTTGCTATGATAAGTATGCTTCATTTTAAAACAGTTGTTAATATTTAAAAGTTACTACACTGATGTTTAAATATTTAATCTCTCTTTTTTTAAGTAATGCTCATCTAAGAAAACAAAGTCATTAACTGTGACTGAACACACAAAACAACCTTGAATATGAAATTTATACTCTTGTCATCAGGCCAAAGTGAGAGCTAAAAAAAAAACAAATATAGAGAAAAATATGTTTGCGCTTAGAGGCTCAGAATAACGACTCGGCGGTGTCGTTTTATTGCACTCGTTCTGCAAATTCAGCTGCAGCTCCACTAAATTTGATGCTATTAAGAGACAAAACCATTTTAGGTAGCAGACACCCTTTTTGCTGAACGTTTCACACTCAGCAGACTGTGAGAAATGGTGATAGGGAGCGGTGTCACAACAGCTGGAAATGGTTAAGAGATGTGTTAAGTTAATTTTTCATGTCCACAATATGATGGCAGAGACTTTGTACTGATTTTGGAGGATTCAGTAGCCTCTAATATATTGTTTATTTCTTTTGTTTGGTAAAGATGCTTTTTAATGCTCCTATATGTTAAAAATTTAGCATTTTTAACAAACATATGTTAAAAATTTAGCATTTTTAACATATGGGAGTCTGTCACTAAAGCCACTAAAGGACCTGCAGTTTTTGGCCCTGCAGCCCGTGATGCACATGTGATCTTTCACTTGACGCTCCGGACACCAAACAGGCTGTTTACTTTAAGACAAAACAGGCCACTGGCCAAATTTATTCCTGTGTTTATGACTTAATTGTTTCTAGCTTCCTAAACTTCTGATGGCTTCACCTTATCTGACCTCACAGTGGAACAAACAGAAAGTGCTCTGGGCTGATAGGTCACGCTGTCCTCCGGCACTCCGGCAGGCCTTACTGACTGGAACAAAAGTAGCATGCTTTTACCCGGTGTGTGTAAAGGTGAAATACACCCCTGCGGTGTAGGATTGGCCATAGCTGCAGCATGTCATTCTGAACATCCAATAAAATCGCTGGCCAAAGGTCAGGAACTTCCTGCTTTAAAAAAAAATTGAAAGAGTTTGTGTGATTTGTTTACTTTACTGAACTTTGCACGTTTGTTTCCCTGAGACAAAAACTGAACACTGAAATGTCATCAGTGAAACAAGAAGGTAGTATATCTGCACAAAAAACGAGACCAGATGGTGGTTTGTTTGGTTTTTTTTTTACCACTTTCAGCCCTCATTGCTGTTGTGAAAACCTTTGACTGATCATCAAATGTCTGACAGATTGTTGTGTTTGTACTGCCGACTGACTGAATCTGTGCTGTGTTGTCTCTAGTTTCAGAGCTCTCTATACCGGTCCCATGGGGAGAGATCAGAGGCAAAGCCTGGGGTCCTGAACACGGCCACCCGGTGCTGTGCCTGCATGGCTGGGCAGATAACTGCGGTTCATTCAACACGCTCATTCCCTTCTTACCTAAAGGTAATTCACCACAGACAGGACAAGGGTGAGAAAAACTGTCACCTGTGGGCTGTTGTAGCCGTGGGTAAGTGGCTGTCAGGCCTGTGTGAATCATTATCTTTTGTGCCTTATTGCCCCGTACTCTGTACTCCCAGCACACCAAGGCTAGAGTGCAACCATCCAGTGTGAGCTCAAGAGTAACATCACAACAGTAATCCTGACCACGGACATTATATAAACAATCAAGTGGCAATCATTAGGTTATTAATTAAATACCTCTAGCGGAGGGGGGTCTAGACTATCCACCAGTGGTTTATATCTGCTGCTAAATCATAATAACTTTGGTTTTATAGGCTTGTGGTCATAAACCACAAACATTATTAAATGATAACGGTCACAATGCCGGGAAAAGGTCAGGGGATGTTAAGCCACGTTATTTAAAACCACAAGTGAAAATCCAAAAGCAGAACATCAGTCAAAATACTGCCAGGAAGGACCGTCAAACTCACTTTACATCAGGAGCTACATAGAGCTTGCCTTATCCTAACTGTCCCAAACCAGTGAAACTCCGCTTTTTGTCAGTGTGAAGATGTTTAACTACACATTTAATGCCATTAGATATAAGAAAAAAGAAGTGCAGTTACAGTAATACACGTCGGTTTTTCTATATGATTAAAAAAATGCAGTAATGTGTGAAAATGTGTACAGAAATTACAGAAAATGTTCTGGTAGCTCACTCTAAACACTCTCCTGTAGCTACAATTGCGTTAATTCGTATTTCATGACTTGCATGGCTTTTTTTATTTGACTGGCATGTTTAATATTCAGCTAAAACAAAACCCAATCCAAACGCTTGTCAGGTTTAGGGTTAAGAAGTTAATAGCCATTATCGAGCTGCCTTAGTCTGAACCAAACAGGCAGATGAACACGGCTGTGACCGTCTCCACTCCAGATGTTTTTTAAGATTAAGTTTATTTTATTGCTTTTTATTTATGCGTTATTTTATTTTATAAAAATGTTTTCCATTTGTTAAATATTTACAAATTTCATTGTGATATTTTTATGTTTTTATTTTCAATTTCATTTATTTCATTTTATTTTGTTATTTTTTAATATTGACTTAATATTTATTAATTTATTTAAATTATTAATATTAATATTATTTAAATCAACTATTTAATTGGTGAATTAATATTATTAATATTTAAACATTTTAAATATTATTGATGCTGCTGGTCTGTTGTGGTGAAGAGAGAGCTGAGTGTAAAAGCGAAATTCTCATTTTACCGGTCGATCTACGTCCCCTCTCTCGTCTGTGGTCACGAGCTGCAGGTAGTGACCAAACGAATGAGATCACTGATACAAGCAGTAGAAATGAGCTTTCTCCAAAGGGTGGCTGGCCTCTCCCTTAGAGACAGGTCAAGCAATTCAGCCATCCAGGAGGAGGGGCTCAGAGTAGAGCCGCTGCTCCTCCACATCAAAAGGAGCCGGTTGAAGGTGTTTGGGCAGATGACAAGGATGCCTCCTGGGCACCCTTCTGGTTGAGGTGTTCCGGGCATGTCCCACTGGGAGGAGGGCCCGGTGCAGACCCAGGACACGTTGATCTCTCAGGCGGCCTGGGAACACCTTGGCCTTCCCCCAGACAAGCTGGGAGGTCTGAGCTTCTCTGCTTAGGCTGCTGCCCCCGTGATCCAGCCCAGGATAAGCATTCTGTCTCTCTCTCTCTGCTCCTGCTTAGAGTGCAGATATGTGGCAGTGGACATGCCAGGACACGGTCTGTCATCTCACCGGCCTCCTGGAGTCTTCTATTCATTTCCTGCGTATGCAGCAGACGTACGCAGAGTTGCTGAAAGTGAGTGGGACCTGTTCGTCTCTCAGTAGCCGGGCTGCACTTCCAATCTCTTGGTTACAACAGCCGAGCTAGATTTGATCAGATGAGTTGTCTGTGTCATACCCCTGCAGGTCTCAGCTGGACAAAGTTCTCCATCATGGGTCACAGCATGGGTGAGTCACAGGCATGAACACTGACACTGCGCTGTGTATTTTGCATTTAATCTTCTGGAAAGTCTGAATTTAAAAGAAGAACTTTTATAGGAACACAGTGGCTATCTAAACTAAGGTCTAACTGATTAAACGTGCTGCTGTGCTGCGTGTGGATCCACCAATCAAAGCGATGCTGCAACAATTAGTGATTTAATCAACGCATCAAGGGAACAGAGAACTCCAAATCTTCTGGCAATTGCCTAAATGGTAAAACGTGTTCTGGTTGGTGCTTCAAAGTAAACCTAAACAAGTTGTTCATGCCGAGCATATTTTTTGTTATTTTTATGCATAATGGTGACAGTGCTCACATAAACTAGTGTATCCTTTCCTACGGTCCATCACTGCATATCCTAATCTCCCAGACATGCACATAGACATTGAAACAATAGAAAGAAGTATAATGAAATGTTACTTTAAACATTTATAAATTACTTTATCAATACTGTTTCCAATAAACAAAACATTTGGAAATTAAATAATTTGAACAATTTGCATATTTCTGCAAATATCTAATCAGCCAATCACATGGCAGCGATTCAGAACATTTAGGCACATAGACATGGTCAAGCCAATCTGCTAAAGTTCAAACTGACCATCAGAATGGATAAGAAAGTTGATTTAAGTAAATACTAAAAGCCAAATGGGCTGGTCTATTTCAGAAACTGCTGTTCTGTTTGCAATTTCCCACACAGCCATCCTGGTACTAGAAAGGTGCCAAATAAAGTGGCTGGTGAGGGTTGCAATCCAGTAAAATTGATGCTGTAAAGTTTTTACTGGAATTCCTGGGGAAAGAAAAAATGGGAATACTAATGAAATGAATCACTGTTGCTTTTTTTCTGTCATTTTAAAGAAAGTAAACAAAGAAAACAATACTTGTTTTCAGCCAGAGTTTGTTTTAAAGTCAAGGTGTCACAAAAATGATCGTGTTAATTTGACGATGTGCTCACTCCCTTACAGGTGGCAACATCACCGTCATGGTAAATTAAACACATCACGTTCATCTAATCGCTGCTTTTATGAAATATGTGTCATAAACTGCGTTTTCAAAGTGATCACAGCAGGGACTTCACTGTGTTTCCTACAGTTCAGCGCATTGTATCCTGAGATGGTGGATGGCATCATAGTGCTGGACGTTTTTGGATTTGTACCTACAGATCCGGTACTTCAGCACTACTTCTCGTCACTGCTGGGGAAAAAACAACAACAATCTAATAGTTGGAAAGATGCAGAACTACTTTATTAAATTATCTTTATGAGCCACTCCTGTCTGTGTTTGTGTTTCTCACCTCTCATTTTATCGCAGAAAGAAATTCCCCGAATCATGAGGCAGGGGATGGAGGAGATGCTCAAGTTTGAAAAAAAGGCAGAAGAGAAGAAGAGGGTTTACACGTACGAGAAGGCAGTGGAGAGGTATCGCTTTATTTTATAGCCAATTCAAGTGGAGTAAGCCTTTTGTTTATGTGTTTGTGCAGAAGTGAAGTGAAGCTCTGCTGCTTTCTTCATGCATCTGAACTGCTGGCAATCACTGTGGGTAATTTTGGCATCAGGTTTTGACAGAGTGAACTGCATTTTGTTGTTAGTTTGTTTTCTTAAAAAAGGGGGAGCACCTCTTGTTCTGCCACATCAATTTGTTTTATTTCAAACAGCAGAAGTCCTCGCTGTGTGGAATAAAAATAAACTGCAGAGAGGGATGAAACAGAAGAAAGTAAAACTGAGTCGCAGTTTTGACTAAATTTTTTTGTTTCCTTCAGGCTGTTGGCTGCAAACCCGACTCTGTCTGAACGGTCTATTCAAACGCTTTTAGAGCGAGGCCTGACTCGAGTTGAAGGAGGTATGTCTTTATCGCTTCTCCTCCTGTCAGCGAGGAATAATCTCACTTTGCTTTCTCTCATTTGCTGGCAGCTGAATGTGTTTCTCCTCATCAGGATTTGTGTTCTCCAGAGACCTCCGAGTTAATTTTGTGAGTCACTTTTAACCTCCCCAAACTTCACCACATCCCACTTTGTGTCTCCTCCAACAGAGGTTTGGCATTCAGTTCACATACATTTGCTGTGTTTTATGCAGAAAAACATAGAGCGGATCACTTTGGAGCAGAGCCTGGAGATGCAGTCACTGATTCAAGCTCCTGTTTTACTTATCCTGTAAGATTTTTACCACTAATCTGATATTACAGTATACTTTATTTTACAGCGTGGACATGTCTGTTTGCGGTTTAAATGATTTCTGCTCTTTAAAATAAAGCATGTCAAAAAAAACATGTAACACCAATCTGTGTTTTTTCTAGAGCTGACAAAGGTTTCAGTCCAGCATCTAGAGAATCGAGCCAGAAACTCACTTCGAAACTCCTCCAAGTCTATCAGGAAAGAAATGTGAGTTTAATTTTATGTAAGAGTAAATCACTCTCTACTAACATCTGTATGATTAAAAAAAACCCTACAATAACACAGAGAAACGACCAAACCTCAACAATCAGGTGAGTCCCTATGAGCAAAGACTCAGCAACAGTGGGAAGGAGAAACTCCCTCTTAACAGGAAGAAACCTTCAGCCAGAACCAGGCTCAGGGAGGGGCGGCCATCTGTCGCAACTGTTTGTGGGTGAGGGGAGGAGACAGGACACACTTACTGCCTGATGCATCATCAGTTATTGAATTTTCTGTGCAGCCTAATTAGCCGGAGCCAAATTAGATCAAATATTTAAAATGTTTTTATGTAGCACTTTTTTCGAAATCCACTTTATGAAGTGTTTCATGTGAATAGTGCCAAAAAAAATGCTGATTACCAGTAAACTTTAGTAAAATTAGAAAATAAAACCAAAAGTCAGGAAAGGCTTTCCCATGAAAGTTTGTTTTAACCTCCTCAGATCTGAGCTATTGCTGAGCATCCACTTTTAATTTCTCCCATGAGTCAGACTGATGAGTGTAAAAGCAGCACATGTTGAACAAAAAGTCATCCTCATTGTCCTCATATGGAAGCAATTATTTAGTTATGCTGTAAAATAAACTAAAGCCACCATATTTGATCAAGTATAAATCATTTTACTGAGGAAAACGAAGCATAAAGTGCAGAAAAGCCGAACTTTAATGTCCCTGTATGAGGATTCAGGGTCTCGGGAAGTTAAAGGAAGTGATGGATGCCAACCTGATTTCCTCAGGCACATTGTTGAAGAGGCTAACTGCAAAAGACCTTTGCATGAGGATCTGTACTGATGTATACATTAGTAAGACAGTGTTGCTGTGTGGAGTTTTCCTCTTCTCCTTGTGTCCCTGTGGGTTCGGTCCAGCTACTTCAGCTTCCTCCCACAGTCCAAGGACGTGCAGTTAGTGGGATTAGGTTAACTGGTTGATTCTAAATTGCCCATAGGTGCAAAGGTTGTGTGTTAGACCTATGGCAGATCGATGATCTGTGCAAGATCTACTATGCCTCTTGCCCTGTGGCAGCTGGGATAGACTCCAGCTCCTCCACGACCTCAATTGGTAAAGCAGAAGAAACTGGATGGATGGTTAAGACCCAATTTTTATGTTGCATTTGTGAAATTAGAGAACTTAGAAGATGAAAACTATGTATTTTTCTCACTAAGGAAAAAGAACAACTGTGAAGTGGAAGTAAAAAAAATAAAATAAATCTGTTTAGGTTTGAGCAAATAAATCAAAGTAAAAGAAGCCTAGTTTGGTGATAAATAAAACATTTATAAGCCTAATGGCTTTACAAGTGGTTAAAAAAAAAAAGGTACGCGCACACAGTCAAATATGCCCACGCACTGTAAAATGTGACTTTGATTTCTCTTATTAGGATAAGAGATTCATGTTTATGCCTCCATACTAATCACCACTACTGAGATTCAGCAAAATTAAGAGGGCACTATTCACATGAATCTAGTATTTATTTTTTTATTTTTTTATCAGAGCCACAGGAAGCCACCGGGGACGGGCAGAAGAACTGCATGCGGCTCTGAGCTGCTGGACCAAGACGCCCGAGCTCAAAGCAAGACCGCAAAGGACCTTAAAATAAAATAACATCCTGAAACATCAAAATACTTAAAAACATGGAGGCAGTATTTATTTCAGATGCAAACAACAAAATGTCAGGGTGCAACTAATGATCCTTGTGTCATATTTACAAATGTTTTTCTTGGTTTTATTGCTATATTAGAAAAAATAAGAAACTGACTGTAACTGATATGAAGCACTGGGTCCTGCAGACAAACGGTTTGATTAAAAATGACAGCAGGCTGATCTGTATGAGAAACAATCATTTTCTGCTTTCAAAGAGCAGATGCTCTATCGCTGTGTAATTGGAATCCAGCTAATTGGATGGCATATCAGCTAATAGTAAGTAACCCGATTAATATTCATTAAATGATTATTTATGAGGCGTTAACTAGCCACATAAAGCCAATTGATTATTTCTTAACAGGATCCGTGACGCACCCTGCATATTAATTCATGCATTAAGTCGCGTTAGTTAGAAATGTTTTACAACTTTATTAAAAAGTGTACACCTGAAATCCCAAAACAGAGAATCTGCAGCAGTCAGATGCCTCCAATCACGGCTGAATCCATATTATAGTTTTAAAATAAAACGTGCAGGATTCATAAAGATCTGCTAATAAAAAACACAGAAGGGTCCTATTAAACAAATACAAATGACAGCGTGTAAAATCTGCACACTTTTTATTGTACTTAACTAAAACTGGATAAAAAAAAAACCCACTTAGTTCACTATTATAACCTTGGTCAGCAGCCATCTTCAAATGTAATTGCGGACTTGGAGTCGAGCAAAAAGGAAAGATTTTAATAGCTTGAAGAAATAAACCTGTTTTATGTGACTTTATTATTATCTCACATCATTATTTTGGTCCGCTCTTCTTCACAATGTTCATCAGCATACATTTGTTTATGCTGAGCTCTCTGAAGTTTGTGGTTTGGACTTTGACAGGAGCATTGCTACACCTTGACTTTTTTTTTTTTTTTTAGTCATTCTGCTGTGCTCGGGATCATTGTCCTATTGCATAATTCAATCTGTCCCAAGCCGAGCTACTGGTCTCACATTTGACTCTAGAATACTTTGGCATGCAAGATTTCAAGGCTCACTCAATGGCAGGTGCTGTTGCTGCAAAACAAGCCCAATAATCAGCCCTCCATCACTGTGCTTGACAGCTTGTATGTGCTGAATGTGACACTTTGCATTGTGGCCACACATCTCCACTTTGGTGGAGACTTCTGTTGCCAAACAATCCGTATTTGTTCAGTCTTTCTTTAAATGTATTGTCATGAATGTTCACCGTAATATGCTAACTGAGCCCTGTACCTGTAGCTCTGGGGTTTTCCAGTTTCTCTGAGAATTGCATGGTATGATCTTTGAAAGTGAATTTTCTGGGGCAGCCACTCCTTGGAAGATTGTGGGATTGTGTTAACACACAATGTTCCCGACCAGCAAACTGCCAAATGCTGTGCTTTCAAAGAGGAGATCAAACTTGCCGGTTGATCAACTGCATTTGATTATTGGTACCTGGCTGCATCGTATTCTCTTAATTCCTGTGGAAGCTGTAAGGGTGTGGCATTTTACCGACCTGCACAGAGTTCGGTGAAAACTTTCTTTTTCACAGTTCAACACTCTTCTCTTTTACTACTAAATCCTCTTACCCTGTTTGTCTGTCTGTCTCTCTCAGGACACTGTGGTGAGAGTACCTGGCAGTCATCATGTGCATCTTGATAATCCTGAAGTCGTCGCTCCATTTATTTGTGACTTCCTGCAGACCAAAGTGCTCTCACAGCAGGTGAAAGCCTAGTGGACAAGATGTAACCATCACACGCTCACATTCTCCATGTGAAGTTTCACACTTCAAAAGTCTCAGTGCACTGTTTTCGTCTCTCTTAGAGCTCACATTACCATAAAATTGTTCCAGTAATTTGTTCTGCTCTGTACAAACCCAACTGGAGAGTCATTTGGAATAATAATACTGAATAATAAAAAAAAAAACATGATTTATGAAACTAGACTTTTTCAATCTTTTGCAGTTTTTGTAGAAATGGTGTATCTAGCTCATTAGTTATATAAAGGACCAGGACAGAAGTGTTTCCCTTTATGTCGCTGTAAAGAAGCACTCCTGAAATGTTTCCATGTATTAATCCATCCATTTACAAGAAAATAACAGCAATTTCAGCAAAATATATCAGTTTTCTCTCATTCAGCCCGTCCTCTTGGCCAGGAGTCCCTTGAAAAAGAGGTCTTTGATCTCAACGGGACATTCCTGGTTAAATAAAGGTTAAATAAAATAAATAAAAAAGTGTCATTACAAAGAAAAGATGCGGCTAGGCTCTTTGGCTTAACCACCTCAACTTTGGAGTGGTACTGCAGCCTGTGACTAATGCCATTGTCTGCAAGAAGGCTCTAAATCTGATGGTGATTCAGACCTAACCCTCTCATGATGTGACCCATTATTCCTGCAACATAACTCTTCCTGGTGCAGTAAAAAATCCAAAGAGGATGCCCCCCTCCTCTGTGATTGTCGCACTTTGCAAAGCCATGCAGTGGCTAGGCTGGACTGGATCCTAAAATGAGCCAGTCCAGGTGACACCAACGCTTTGTAAAGTCATTTAACACCTCCTCACGTCAACCTTTTTTTGATTGTGATTAGTTGTTGTCATATAAAGGCATCTTCTGATTTAATTTTCTTTTTCATGTAAATACTTCGGCAGTAGTTTGTTCTGTTGTCGTATTGCTTCTGTCAGGCGCTGAATGCCATCTACATCTCGATGAGCATCAGCCGACTGTGAAAACATGGGGCCGGGAACAAAAAGCCATTTAGACGTTTTAACATATTGCCATGCATTGTGGTTTTGTGGCAGTCTGCTTGAGTTTTCAGTGCAGTCGCATGTGCGTAAAAAGCCCCGAACTGAATAAAAATCCTCTGCGTGTAACTTATGCAGCGAGGAAGTCACAGTTCATCGCTTCTGTTTATGTGAGGCTGATCTGTTTAACTGCTGCTTTTCATGAATCTGGTGGCGGCGCTGAGTGATGCTAAAAATGGCAGTCATTAAAAAAGATGACATCCTCTGACAACTGGATATGTAGGCCACCCTCTGCTCAGATTTTTTGACTTTAAAAAAATAAATAAATAAAAATAAAATCTGACTGTCTTAAACACTTCAGCTGCTGTCAGTCAGAGCAGATATGAAAGGAGTCCCTCACACAGAGATGGCTCCCTCTCTCTCAATGTCACATAAACTGTGTGATGGCCTTGGTGTTAAATGGAGTGGAATTGATTTTACGCAGCGCGTAGCAAGGCAGCGAGCATCCACAGACATCTGAAGGGCTTGTCCCCCTCCACCAGCAAAACCCCCACACCTACCCACCCTCCTCAAAAATGATTATAGTTATATAAGTTTCCCTCCCACTCCCGCCGTCGTCATGGCAACCCCCACCCCTCCTTTTTGAACGTCAGAGCCGGGAGCTGGAGGATGAAGCCGCATCCAGCTTCAGCATCTCGTGCCTCTCAGAGAGCACCTGTGATTATTTTGCAGAGGAGGAGCAGCTGCTGCAGCGACGGCGATCATCTAATGAGAGGTTCGGACTCTGGGCTGCTCTTCGTCGCTTAAAAAAATCGCCACCGATCGAGCAGCGTCTGCAGGTAAAAGCGTGGTGCCTCTATTTACTCCCGTGCGCTATTTTTAGAAGAAAAAAAAAACACCTGTGCCAGCTAATGATTGTGAAACTGAGAGGAGTAATGATGGAAAGCCCCGCTGCCTGTTTAGTCGCTGTAGTGTCTTTTTTTCTGTCATGAGAAGGGAGCGGGAAAGCTTTCTCGGAGATGCAGTTAGCGGTGCGTATTTGGAAGGTTTAAACAACTCTGCTCATCCACCCTTCCCCACGATCTCGTCTCTTTTGCTTCTCTCCCTGTCCTCTCCTCCTCACCCTCACCCTCCTTCTCCCTCACCCTTCCCATTCTTTTTTGCCCTGACAGCCGGTATGTCGTGGTTGTTCTTGGACTGGTTCGTCCCACTCTACTTGCTGGTGTCGGTGTTGGTGCTGGCAGGCTTCGGAGCGTGCCTGTACTTCCTAGAGCCCGGGTTGCAGGATGCCCACAAGTGGAGCAACAAAACAGTCCGGCATCACCCGCTGGTGGCCAGTGTGAACTGCAGAGATGACGATAGCAATGCCCTGATATGATCAAGAGGGCGAGGCGAAGCGGGAGGGCGGCTGACCATCTGGACAGGGGTGCTGCCGCCGGGACACCCGTGGGATGGGAGCCAACACCCAAACGACCGTGGAAGAAAAATGGGAGAGAAGGACGAGAAAGGAGGGGAACATTATCTGTTGTCTGATAATGCAAACCCTGTTCTATATCATTCCAACTTTTCTCTGATCTCTGCTGATTTTCGTTGTAGAGGTGAGAGAAAAGTAAAGCAGAGGTGTTTTTAACGTTCTTAAAAATAAAAATAAAAAAAGAAGAAGAAAAATAAAAATAAAAAAGCCAGATGCACAATGCGAAGAAGACTGCATCCAGAAAGAGATCGTGAGGTGATTGGAGGAAGTGTTGCCCTTTAGAAATGTGTTTGTAAATTTCACGCCATCCTATACTTGTGCCAAGTTTTACATGCATTTTGTAATTTTGACAATCACTTTGCATATCTCATAAAGTTTACTTACATTGTGCATTTAATTAGCTGAAGTGAGCGACATAAGTGCAATGACTTTGCTGCCACCGGGGAGGGTTTTTAATCCTCTCTCTGAAGTCGGCGTGGCAGCTGCTCAGACGCATGTGGATTGTTTAGTGCCGCTGTGCCAAAACGGTGTGTTATTCGTGACTTACTTTAAACTGTTATGTACCCAATAAATGCAACTGATTCATTTAAGGTGCCAAGATTATCATAGATGGACCAAGACGACTGACAAATAGCCTAGTATTTGGTAAAGGGTTTTTTTTTTCTTTGCTTTGTTTGTTTTCATTGTTTTTACTTGACAGCATGGTGAGAAACTGTGGGTGTGTAACGACCCTCTTTTAAGAATCATATGCTTCCTTTGTTCATACAAAAATAAAACTGCTCAGTCCCCACTTCTTTGTATTTGCTGTTGCATGAATATCCACCCTAAATATATAGTCTAAAGATTTATGTGCTTCTAAATAATTCATGTGTGTGTGTGTGTGTGTGTGTGTGTGTGTGTGTGTGTGTGTGTGTGTGTGTGTGTGTGTATATATATATATATATATATATATATATATATATATATATATATATATATATATATATATATATATATATATATACACACACATAAATCCTTTTAAACTGTCAGCAGTTCCATCAAAATTTCTCAAACTGTTTTAAGTTACCTGACTTTTTAAGCCCTGACAAGATAAAATATGGACAAAAGCAAAGGGCTTTGGATTTTCTGCCCTCCTTAGAAATCTCAACCTGGCTCTTTTGTAGGTTGAACCCTTGGTTTGGAAAGCCTTTCAAGTCAAATAATATGACAGCCCAGAGCAGTAAAATACTCTTTATGCTTTGATTCAGCAATATTAAAACTATGATATCATCTGCACTTCAGTCAAAGATTGAAATGCATGTTTTCTGTATTTTTGTAAGTAAATTTGAATGTAGGACTTTCATTTACAGTGCAGTCTTTTTATATATACCTTCAGCTTTAAAAAAAAAAAAGCTTACAATACTGCACCTACACTTTTGAAAAGCCCTTTAAACTCTGCTCAGAGTAGATGCTTCGAGTTTGAAGGTCACTCACTCATGGAGTGCGTAGAGTCTGTAATGAAGAGGCTTTTTCATTCAAGGCAGTTCGAGGATAAAACTAGCTCTGCAACAGAAATCATGCGTAGATATTCATATTTTCTCTTGTAATGCAGAAAAAAACAAACTCTGACAGTGTAGTTGTCAGCAGAGGAGGAGCATTCACATTATTATGAAATGCATTTGTAGGTGTGGGGTTGTTTGTCTATAGTACCTTGTTACTATTCTGCCCAGACTCTGCAGCTGAGGACGATGTAGTAGCTTAATCTGGTTTGAAGTATACGATGCATCATTTCACCTGTGACATTAATGTTTTTGTGACTAGGCTCTATAAAAGCATCAAACATAAGTTAATGATCTGAGTGCTTCTGTCACTCATATTTTGCGCTATAATCAGACAAGCTTCACAGTGTCCCACGAACCAAATCAAATGAGACACCAGTGTGGGAGTGCAACAGTGAAGCCTCAGTGTCGAGGTATGGAGAGAATGGCACTTGTGTGCCCACTACTTCCTACTGCTCTGCTCCAAGTCTCACACACTGTGCCTTGTTTACTCTCTCAGTCTGTCAGCAGCAGACACGGGGCATCATCGCCACACGTCAGGTCAGTGTCTTTTTCTGCAGCTCTAACTAAAGAACAAAAAACAGTTGTTTTTTTCATAGTAAACACTGTTTTGTGCTGGTATTTTCAGTGTTGGTGCATACCAGCCATGCTGCCTCAGACTGCAGTGTTTAAAAGTAATTTAATGCACTCATAAAAGTGCTGCACTTTTACATAACTTGAGTGCTACGATTTTATGCAATTATGTGGTACTTAAGCCCTACTACATATTTTCTGTACAGACATAAGTGCTTATTCAATATTTCAATATATATATATAAAAACATAATCAGTTGATAAAATGTGGTGTATTGGCTTAGACTTCCTAGACGTGTTTTTATTTTTAAACAGATTAACACTGGATTCGCTTCACCTGCACTTATCGATGACATTAAACCATTAAAGTAAATAAATCTAACACTCCTTTGGAACTACAGTAAGATTTTCAAACTTTTGATATAAGTGTAGTTTGCAGATATTTCTGTTCTTTATCTTACCCCTTTAATATTTATTAAAAGTTTGTCCTGTTTGTCATTTGCAGTCTCTCTATGTTTCTCTTTCCTCGCTTCTCCTTAAGTGGAGAGTTCTTCCTCCCCGCTGTTGCCGTGTTTCTCTCTACATTGATTATCTGATTTTTGGGTCCTACCTCTAACACTGTATGGTCTAATATTGTGAAGTGCTGCTTGTTAAGTAAAATTCAATAGGAAAAAATCTAATTGAAACTTGCACTTCAGTTAATTTGAGTATTTTTTTAAGAATGTTATTCCCACATTTTCTATTAATTTGGACAGTGTTTATAGAAATTATGTTTGGCATAAAGTTGAATTCTATTCTATTCTATTCTATTCATATAAAACAAGTTATATTTTTTCTTAGTTTCTTCATTCTCATCATGTGATTAGTCTTTCTTTGCATCTTTGTCTTGCTAAAACAGAATGAGTGTTTTTAACCGTCTGGCACCTTTGATCCCACGAGTGCCTGACTCCAGCAGACAAACAAAGGAGCATCCAAAAGTGTGTTTGTCACCTCCTCTGCCTCTTTCTTCTCCCGTCATTAAGAAGAAAGCCATTCACATCCCATCATTTGATGAGAAGGGACTTATCTTTGAAAAACACAACACAAAGCTGTACACAGCAGACAGGTAAATTAATGTGAGGTTTGTTTTTCTGTCTTGGATTTTTTGTGCTACATAATCTAGTAATTATTGGTACATTTTTTTCTTTCCAGATCATTTGATTCAATTTGGACATCCAAGACACCAAGCCCGCCCTCGAGGAGTAAATCATGTCAGCTTTCACAGAGAAACCATGGAGAAAGAGCTTCAACCCTCCCAAGGACCAAACCTCAAACATGCAGCTCTCAGTCTCTCTCTGCAAAACCCAGCACCTCCATTTCTCCTTCTCCTAAGCCAAATTCCTCTCTCACTCTTCCCACTGTCAAACCAAAGCCAAGTGATTCTCTTCATCTTCCCGCCTCACAGGCGAGTGATCTTTCTCCATTACTGCCCCAGCCAGCACCAAAGCCAAGTGTATCTCCAACTCTGACAGTCCCAACACCCAGGCTAAGCCCATCTCCAATGTCCCTTTGCCAAGGGACGAGCTCAGACGGTCCACCAGTAAAACAGCCTTCTCCTATTGCAAAAGAAAGACGTGCTAAATCGATTCCCATCTGTAATGTCAAAGCGGAGACATCAAATGAGATAAAGCATGAAATTCTTGACCAGGATGCTTTACTGGACTTTACTCACCCTGAGATGAGAAAAGGTCGTATGAACAGAGAGTCTCAACATCAGACTTACTCAGAATCCTACAGACGCCCGGTCACATCTTCGAATCCTTGCTTTCTGCAAAGCAAACTTGGACTAAGTAAAAAAGACAATACTGCCAAAGATGAAGCAAAGGCTCTGCAAAGGAGTACAGACATTACTGCATTTCCTAAACCAAAGTGGAACATCAATCAGCACCAGGAATTTCAACCCAGTAGAATGACAGGAACACAAATATCCACTAACTCTAAAGGCATTAAGTCTGCTAACGTTGATCACCAGGAGTCTCCGTCAGTGTTTGATGGACCGGCCACTCTGTCAGGTCCTCAAAGAAAATATAAAAACTACCCTCAGAAGAGCAATTACTCTCAGACCTTACATTTTACCTCAGCTTACCCACCATACGAGCAACTGTATTCTGAGAAAAAAGCAGCTTTACCCGTGACTTCTCAAACATCCTTTTCCACTGAGCCTCTTTTTAATCAGTCAGGCGTTTCGCCAAGCATCGAGGCAAGGAGGAGACGGTTCGACCTGCACAGTGAAACAAGACCAGAAGCAGCATTTCTATCAGCTTCTCGTCCCAGGAAACAGCAGGAAGAAAACAATAATCAGACAATTACAGGAAACTCTCATAAAATCTTTCATGAAACTGGTGCATCTCAAAACATCAAGTCCCCACAGAGACCCCTCAGGTTCCCGTCGAAGGCACAGAGTCAAACTGTGGATGTAAGATGTGCAGTGAGTCAGTCTCACTGTTTATCAAAGGATTACAGCTGCCAGTCAAGAGAAGCTGATCAGAAAATGGAGGCTTCCCAGTGCACACACAGGTTAAATCAGCTTAAGACATGTCAGGTGGCACCTCAGACCCAGGAGGCCTCCCACCCTCCCTCTGGTGTGTGCACCACCTCACAAAGGGGATCCTTTTTGAAACCTGACCTTCAGTCACACAGATGTGGCTTAGATCAGGAACAGTCTCCTCCTGAAAAACAGATGAAGGTCAGCAGCACAGGACTGAATCAAACAGACATGTTAGCACCACCTGACCTCCGTGGGGTGCCAGCAAAGCTACCAGAACATCCCTCAGAGAAATATGTTGCAAGCTGGCCCCCGTCTGTAGCACACTGCCCATTCAGCACAGACAGTTTTGGCCTAAGCTCAAAGGGGGTCTTTGACAGAGTATACCAGAGCCTGGAAAAGACAACAACAGCAACAACAGCTTCCAGTCTACTAAATCAGCTGAATGACTCTGAAACAGGCAAAGTATTTTTCTCAGAGGAATCAGAAGACCCCTATTACGTCACGATGTATTACCCAGGCTCAATTTATGTGGGTGAGTACAAATATATCCAAGTCACCTGCAAGATTTTAACAGAACAAACCCAGCGACAGCGCCTCTTTGATGCCCCTGCTTTTATTTGGAGTGGGAGTTGAATAATTTTCTAACTTCTAAGGGGGGGTGGGAACTCTGATGAGGGGGTGGTTAAAGAGGATAGCAGAGGGACTAAAGGCAGCGCTTCTTATCAGTAGAGTAACAGACGTGGCGAGGAGAGATGTGACAAAGTTGGTTAGCAGACTGTTTCAAAGTGAATAGCACAGGAAGACGTGCCAAAGCAGTTTTACACTAAAACACGCTGAAAACATGCAGAAAGGAAGGCGGGACGAAAGGAGAGCAGCTTGGAGATAAAGTGTGAGTACAGTGCTGCAGCTGTATTTTTCTTCCTCTAACACCTAAAGAGTAATAACAACACAATATCACACAAACACTGGGAAGTACAGACTAACAGATGTGTCAAACTTAAATCATGTCGTAACATAGCAGGGTAGAGATTAAAAAACAAAGCACACATAGTACCTCAGCACTGCCTGGATGTTGTATGCCTATGAGTTAAAATGAGAGCTTCTGAGGCCCAACAAGGGAAAAACTACCAGGCGTATTTGACAGAGCAAAGAAAATTTAAACTAACAGCTTCATCTGGAGTCTTCATTAGTAGATTTCTTGCAGTTAGATCTGTTAATATATTTTCTGTCTTACAAGACCCTCAGATTCAGGGTCTCTCGTGGGATTCCACCGCTCAGAAAGCCCCGTTACACTCGCTGTTAATCATTACACACTGAGCTTCCACCGGTGGCAGGATACATCAGAGCACATTTGCATTAAATTTGAAGTGCTTTAGTTCACGGCATGTCACAGCTGATAGTGTGTCTCTTCACAGAAAAGGAAGCGCGGCACATACAGACAACGTCTACATATTCAGCCATCATTAGTTTAATTATTCAGCACTGTAGTTTTCCTGCTGTGACAAAATGTATTTGGGGGAAACCTTCTCTATACTGCACTTCTTTCTACATTTTAAACAGTGCATTTAGCAGACATGCAGTTGTTACTTTGCAGATAAGACTTCAAACTTTAGGAGCCTGTTTATGTACCAGTGCAAAGCCATTAAAGCTATAAGCTTTTTCTGCTTGAACGATAATGCAGCAGTAATAATGTCCCACATAGCAGTAATGTTTTTGTTAAGCTTTGCATCTACATTAACCCGTACACACTGTTTAGGGTCAAATTTGACTCATTTTGATAGTGACCGCAGCAAAAAAAAATCAAAAAAATCCAATATCATTCTTTTAGCTTGAAATTTGATGACTTTTCCTAAAGTGACCCAAAAATGAGTATTGTAAAGACTATATAGAAAAACAGAGAGCAGAATTCATGGTTGCATTAATTACTGCAAGTTGTCCAGGTCGTGAAGCAGCAACGCAGCCCCAGAACATCACACTATCACCACCATGTTTGACTGTTGGCATGTTGTTGGAACTCAGACCTTCCAAAAGTCCACAGTCCACAGAATATTTTGCCAAAAGTCTTGGGGATCATCAAGATGTTTGGGTGTTTGTTTGTTTTTTAACAAATGTCAAACGAGCCTGTGCGACCTTTTTCTCCTTGGAACTCTCCCATGGATACATATATTTCCCCAGTCCCTTATTGTTGAAGTGCGAACACTGACCTAAACTGTCTCAGTTTAGGTCACCAATTGAGTCACCAATGCACTCTTGGAGTAATTTTGGTTGGTCAGTTACTCCTGGGAAGGTTCCAAGTTTTCTCCTTTTGTGGATAATGGCTCTCACCATCATTTGCTGGAATCCCAAAGCCCTAGAAATGGCTCTGTAACCATTTCCAGACCGATAGATGTCAATGACTTTATTTCAAATCTGTTTCTGTAGACTGTCGCATTGTGTGTTTCTTTTTGAGATCTTTTAGCCTACATCACTTTGTCAGGCAGGTTCTGTTTAAGTGATTTCTCAATTCAGCAGGTCTGGCAGTAATCAGGCCACAGAATTAAAAACAGATAATTCACGATTTAAGAGGCAAGTGTGACAAATGTTGCACATATGGAAAAAAAGAGAGAGAGAGAGAAAATAAATCAGGAATTGGGCAAGTACTTTTTCACAACATTATTAGTAAAGGATCCATCTTCTTTATCCACCAACACTGTTAAAGATCATCTCCCATGTCTGGACTTGACACTGATTATAACACAATTCAAATTGCTCGCTATAAATACTCTAGCTCTGACAGAAGACAGTGTACCCAAAAAAAAAAGTCCCTTTGAGATAGTCATATTGCGCATGTGCGCTGCATCTCCCCACTCCCTGTCCTCTTGTCGCCTTGGTAACGGAAAAGGAGGGGGCTCACGGCCAGAGGGAAGGAGAGGTACCCGGACTCCTCTTTACATGAGCGTTCCTGTTATTGTTATCAGTGTGGTGAATAGATATTACGGCTTCTCGAATTCAGAGCGCCTGTAGGTCGCCCGCTGTCTCCACGAGCTCGTTTGGTCAGGTGAACGGGAGCTGGTGAGTGTGACGACCGTTAGCGGGTGCACGCTAGCAGCTAGCCGTTAACGTTATTATCCAGCGTGACTGGTGAGAGAAACAATGAGGGCGACAGGCTTTGGTAGAGCTAACGTTGGGTAGTCACTTAAAACACGCAGAAAAGGATTCATGTTATATGCTAAAGCACGTTTGCTCTTAACTTTCATGAGCTTGGCCATTTTATTATTTTTTCAAACAGGGATTTTAAAAAAGGGAGTTTTAGCCTTCATGTAGCCAGAGCATCCTCAGATATCGTACGCTTCAGTTTCCTACATTTGCTGTAGTGTGTAGCTCGAAATAATTGCATTGCAGTGTGGGTTTGTGAGGGCAGGCAGGGAGGGGGCAGAGCTGCATGGCCAGTGAATGAATCAAAGTGACAGCCTCTGCCTCAGTGACCTGTATGTATGATCAGGACTCATGTATCTAGGACTGTGACTTAAAGCATGGCAGCAGGCTGTACACCCTGAAGGACTAAGCTCATCAACATCTTGGCTCGGCCTGCTGCCTGTTACTGTTACCATCTGCCTGCACTGCTTGCTTCACTTAAAGGCTGAGCTCACAAAAACATCTTTTCTTGCTTAGACCCGACTGGTGTCAAAGCCTTGCTCGCAGAGGTTTTTTTTGCATTTCTGGCCAGGCTTTTGAGATTTTTGTGTCCCATGTTTGACGTTTCTGCTGCCAACCCAAAGACAAGACAGCTGATTGTAATTTCATCCGTGGTTCTCTGCCAGAATTATTATATCTGTTTTTTCCAATTAGTTTCCTGTTTTGCTTTTTTCCAAAGTGCAAATTTTAGTTTCGTTTTCATTCGTTTTTAATGATTAAAACTTGAGGTGGGACTTACCAGACGATATAATTACAATACTCAACTCACGATACAGTATTATTGCGATTTTTAACATCTACGCTGAGCATTGCAATAACAAAAATTGCCAATCATGCCCTCAAAGTTAAACTTTGTCAATATCAGATAGAGTCAGTCTGCTATCAGTTTGGGATCAGTCTGGGATTGAATGGAGTGAAGTTGGCAGTTACATCTGCGATCTGCAATAATACATCATTTAACTGTTGTTTAAATCAGCAGGAATTCACATTTAACTATTACATTTAAGCTCAACAACCTTCCAGGTCTATAGGAATAACCAGAACTAACTGACAGCCAGCTAAGTCGAGTCCCCTTGAGTTGTGCAAATTGACATCAACTCATTCAGACCGATAATAACATGTTGGCAATGTAGCTGCATTTATCAATTAGACAGCAAACCTGTATAAACATTGAAAAGGTGAAAGAAAAGAACAGTTAGTTCAGTTTTGGGGGTTAAAATGAAATGTAAATGATTTTTCATTGTTTTGACTGGAGGACACCTTTATTAAGAAGACCTGAGTTTGTTCAGTCAGGCATTGATTTCTACACTTGGGGGGTGATCAGGGCTGAGACATACTCTGCTGTGTTGAGCAGATAGAAATAATAGATGGGCAACCTGGGTGTGATGAAGGCTGGAGGTTAGAGCAGTGCTTTTGTAACTCAGGTCAGGTCAGATGCTGCCCCACCTCTGCAGTCTTTCGGGGTAGTTGTTACTCATTAGTGCAAGAACTTCCCCGATTATAAATGCTAGATTTCCAGGAATCAATTAAATTATTCACAGTGCCCTAATTTCAGGTTCTGTCAGGCACTTCTGCACACCAATAGTGGATTTTACTGTTTACACTGTCTGTGTAATATGTGATAACTTAATAAAATAATAACAGCTTAACTCTCCAGTCATTATTCTCAGCTATTCTCATTTGATTTCCTACCTGCTGAGTTAAATGCTTAAGGTCGTGTGGACTCTTGTGGTTAGATGTGAGCATAACGAGTTGATTCAGTTCTGTCTCATATGTTATGTTCAAGCTCAAACTGTGCATGAGTCATCTTTTTATAAATTGATTTATTAACCCCTGGACTTTAACAGCTGATCTGTGTTTCATCAAGATTTCTGCTTATGTTCAAAACATTCTGCACACTTTTAGGAATAAGGTTTATCTCAACCTTTGAAGCAAACTCAAAAAGCACAGGCAGCATTAATCCGAAGATGAATCTTATTTTTAAACTAGAAACTATGCTGCTAAACTCAAATACTGTGTCTCAGAGCTATTTTGCTTTCAGACTTGGACCTCCCTCTCCCTTTTCCTTCCATCTCTGTCATATTCTTCAGCTTTTCTTTTTCTATATGGATGTGTGTGAAATATGAGCGCAGACATAACATCTATCTGTTGGTAAAAAAGAAACAAATGATGTTATAGCAGTTTTTCTTCTCAGTCATCAGCTTTCTTTTGTGCTTTTGTTGTGTGGGGTTTGGGTCGGATGAGGCAGTGGACTGGATCCCTCCTGAAATGTACATCTGTGTCCATGTTGGGACCTTCAGATGTCTTGATTTGTTTAATTGAAAACTCAAAGATATTTACTTTATTACATAACTGACAAAGAAAAATAAATGTTAGCCACATTTAAGTCTCTTCAACTTCTCTTAACTTTTATTTTAATCAGCTAGTTCATTCATTCATTCATTAATACAGTTCACATGGTTATGAAATTTGAAAGTGACAGTTATGCATTAATTACATTTTTCATACGTAAACTCCATGTGTCTGCTAGCCTTGAGTACCACAGCTCCAGTCAGTACCAGATTTTTTTAGGAAGGAGGAAGGGGAGGAGTTCATAAACTGTGATCATAACGTATTCTCCTTTTCAGTCCTTTTTCAATGCCTCGGTATAATGTCAAAAACAGAAGATGTTCCTAATATGCTCATCTCAGACATGAGAACAGAAATCCCTTTTGTTTACAAGGGGCAGCCAATGAGAAGAAGACTTTATGGGAGAGAATAGGGCTAAAATAGTATTTCATACAGTGGATGAAATAAGAGGTAATTGAGACTCACTTTAAAGTAAAGAAACATTATTCTGAACTGTGAATCATGCAAAGCTACTCTAGTAGAGTCTAAGAATAACAGCATGGAGTTGGACATGAGCACAGTAGGCGCTCTTCAAGGAAAACTTTATTGTAAACATCTGATTTTGCTCACCTCATAATGTTTGTATAGCTCCAGCTTCATATTTTTAAAATAAACAGATAAAACATTTGTTTTACAAGCACCTTTCATCATAACCATCAAAATCTGGGAAGCAAATTATACAACTACACCAATTATACAAAGCAGTGTTTGCCTGACTAGATGAATTTGAGGATTTTTCTGTTGTTTGGGTGATCGAAGCCTGCTGCAATAACCCATTTCTTCAATGTAGAACGAGTAACTAGAGGAGAGGCCTCGGCTGATCCACTGACCTACTTCCTCGTCATTTTTTCAGTGTGACTTATTTTCATCTTCCTTCCTTTTCTGTAGACATGTCAGACATCGTTCCTCCAGAGGTTAGACCCAAACCAGCTGTCCCTGCCAAACCCCCAAACGTGGGGGCTCCTTCTCCTTCTAGCCCCTTCCCACCCCAGGGCCTGGGTGTCGGAGGAGGCGGCATCTCTGCTCCCCCACCGAGCGCCATTCCAGTTCCCATTGGAAGTCATGGTCCGAGCCATGGTGGCAGTCACAGCGTGGGTCATGGCATAGGACACAGCGTTAGTCACGCTGGAAGTCACGCTGCACCACACAGCGGCGGTCACGGTCATGGTGGCTCCCACAGCTCCAGCGGGGGATCCACTCTGCTGGGATACATTGGTATCGACACCATCATTGAGCAGATGAGGAAGAAGACCATGAAGACGGGTTTTGACTTCAATATCATGGTAGTAGGTACGTCACAGTAGACTTGCTTTATGCCTGGACACTTTCTTCCTGTATGGTGCTCCAACCTTAATTCTTCTGCCTTTCACTTCAGGTCACAGTGGTCTGGGAAAGTCAACCCTGGTGAACACCTTATTCAAGTCCCAAGTGAGCAGGAGGAGTGCAGGATGGGCTCGTGATGAGAAGATCCCCAAAACTGTGGAGATCAAGGCAGTGTCTCATGGTGAGTGCAAGGACAGAGAGGCTGCTCTTTCTTTAGAGCCAGGCATTTATATAGCACTTAATTAAAGAGAGAAAATGAACAATCTTTGGCCATGTTCTTAAAAGTCCCACATAGCCTACTTATAGTTCATCAGTGCACCCTGGAAGCTGCCAAGAAATCTAAGCAGCTGAAGGATGGGCCAACTTCTGCCTCTCCTGCAGGCACTTTTGATCACTTGTTGTTTTCGACTGTCCGTGTGCTGGGAATTTAATTGTCATGAATTAATTTTTCAAGCTGCTCTGTAATAACTCTCTTATGTGTCATATAAATAAATCAATGCTGAGACCTACCTTATTTGCGTTTTGTAGCTGTACAGACAAAGTCGAAAGAAGGTTAGGTTTTCATCACTGTCTGTTGGTGAAATCTCTAAAAATGAACAGATGCTGAAATTCAGTTCAGAGATGGCTGAAAAACAGCAAACAGATCTCTGCTCAGTTTTCTGCTGTCATGTGCCAGTGCACAGTTGGGCACACTGTGGGTTTCCAGGCAATATTTACAATGTAGAAACGTTTTTCATTAAAGACAGGCACAAAATCAAGGGCAGGGATTGCTCAGTAGGTAGAGTATTCGCCCCATGATCGGAAGCTTGGGGGTTCAAATCCACTGAACGGCTACCCTGAGGTACTATTGAGCAAGGGTCTCTACACACTGCTCCCTGGGCGCTGGATTGGTAGTTGCGTACTGCTTCACTGAATGAATGGGTTAAGTGCAGAGGACTAAGCAATCCCCTACGGTATTAATAAAGTATGCATTATTATTATAAAGGTACAATATCCAAAAATAAATAAATAGATAATAATAACATTTAAAAAACAAGCTGACAGGAACATGTAGCAAGAAATATGATGGAAAACCAAGGCTAAAGATCTGATAGTAGCTGATTGGCAGCAGAGGTGTAGAGGTCAGGTGGTGCTGAATGATCCTGGCATGGTACTTGAGTAGTCGATGTTCAATGCAGAGATTTGCACACATGTCTACATGTTGTTGCTGCATGCTGTCACCAGGAGGCAGTGTTAAAAGCATGTGGAAGAACCTCTAATGTGGTCACTGCTGTTTGTGCTTGTTTGTCCTTTAGCTTAGCCTCTGCAACAAAGACAATAGTAAGAATATACAAAACAAACTGTTTTATCTTTATTGTTATTTTATGCTTCCTCTCCTGTTTGTGGTTGACTTTGATGTTCAAGCCAACTTAAAAAAAAAGAAAACTAAAACTGTTTGTTTCGATATTTTGTGTTCTGTTGCAAAAAAGAAAATACTTTGCCTTGTGGATATCCATTGGATTTGTCAATCTCAGGCTGCTGGAGTTTCATGCACACTTAAGATAATCCTTTGAATATGTTTTTGCTACTAAAGACTGCAGATTTCTGCTGCCGCCCTGTTTACTTTGAAAGTACAGTGATAGTGGTGGAATAACTTCAGCAAAACAAAATAGCTATAGTGTTTTAGGATAGACTTGGGAAGTTGTGAGCTTACCTTTTAAGGCTGGGTCATCATGTTTTATAACACAACATCAAGTAAAACAGGCTTCTGATATTTCTATACTTTTTTTACATCTTGTTTATGATGGACTGTTTGGAGTTTGACAGATTAAAAAGGAGCTTCAATTTTGTATTAAAACTTTTTTGTGTTATTTTCTTATCCAACGTTTAGATTGTATGGCAGATTTGTTTGGTCTGCTGCTGCTTATAGTTTATTCTGTCTTTCTGTCTGTAATTGTTTCTCCAATACACAGATTAATTAAGAAGAAATCCTTTGGAAGAATTAAACATGATTTTTTTGAGATACAGAATCAGTTATAATATTTGGCAATTAGACCCATCATAGCAGCAGAATGCCAGCATCCAGAGTCCAGACACTGGTGGTGGTGAGGATGAAGATGACGGCTTGGATGGAGCTCTGAAATGGTGAGGAAGTGGGTTGCCGAGATTTAAAGTATGCAGAATGCAGGCTTATTGGTTCGCTGAAGGCAAGCAAGAAGATGATTGGGAAAGAGCAATGATATCAGTATTGACTTTGACAGCATTGGAAAAGTGGATGTGTTGAAAAGTATAGATCATAGCAGCTGAACACCCAGGATAGCAGGCAGATGAGTGATAACAGTGTTTTTTTAAGCTCCAGTGCATTTGACCTCACAGGGCCAACATATTGCAGGGTGTTGCTCACTATCATTTTAAGATCTGCTGGCGTGCTGCGTGTGCTTTCATTTCACTTGTGTTTGACTGACTGGGGGTTTAAAAGGGTCTTACTTAACCTCAGTGAAGTTTCTGAGAGTGCGGGCAGTCGGTCATATTTCACAGGAGTCACAAAGCACCACATCGCTGAACTCAGTTTGTGGAGCCTGATCAAAGCTAGGACCAACCATGACCCAATTTAAAGCCCAAAGTATTTGTGAGTAAAATGCGAGATAACCTCAGAGCTCAGAGTTATGTCTCCATGGTAACAACCGTAGATCAGCCTGACAGCTTATGCAAAGATGTAAACATAGCTCAATTTGTGGCTCACTTTCAAAGTTACAGGATGAGGAATCAGAAAGCTGTTCTTGTAGAACATCTGTGTAACTGAGAAGCTTTCCACTCAGGTAACAGGGGCAAGCAGTGACAGTCAGCCGTGTGCTTGATTTGAATAAAGTTTTAAATTATCCACAGTGCAGCCCAAACGAATCGCTATTTACAGCTACTCTGTATAACATTTGAAAATGTCGTATTTTGGTGCCCCTCCCCCACTATTAGTATCAAATCCTCACTGTGGCAGACAGCTCACTATGTAGCATTCAAGCCTGTGCTCATTATGCCTTCTGGGACCTAGCTGCCATTTGCACGTCCTTGACGACTTATGAGCTCCCGAGGAAACTGTAGGGACATGTCAAGCCTGTGGGCTGCTACAGTTTACGTGATCATGCTCCCATTGCCTGCAGATGACAGTACCCTGATATTATTATGCCAGGAGACGAAGCATAAAAAATTCTGGCCATGCTATTAATATTGTATTTGCTGTTTGTGTGATTATGGCAAACACGAACATTCAGTCATTATGTTGAATATTCAAGTTTTTATTTATTTTTAAATAAAAACATTAAATGTGTTCTTCTTCTGTGGTAAAGGTAAGTACATCCTTGGTTTAGACACTACCTTTGCCCCCTTCAGCATAAATAACTTCTTGTAGGTGTGTAATTGCTTTCTGCGACTTTCTATGTGAAATTCCTTCAGTTATTGGATGTTAGAGGATGTTGGCTGTGCAGGAATTGGTAGTTGCACAGACTGCGTCACATCCTGAATAACACTTTGAAATGATGCAGACGCTACCCAGACCCCGGACATCTCCTAAACTGCTTTCGCCACTGTCTTGTTTATCTAAAAGAGCTGGTCTTTGCCTTTATTGCCACTGGTTAACAGTCAGTTTTCTCTGATGCTCTCTTTGAAAAGCAGAAGCTATTTCCTGGCAGGCATTTCATGGAGGTGCATGCACTACCTTACCTGCAAATCCTGTGATGAAATTTTGCAGCTCTGTGAGATTTTAAATTATGGGCAGCATAGTGGTTAGTGAAATCATCTCACTGATTGGCTTGGGCCTCTGTATGTGGAGTTTTTGGGTCGGTTTTGACTCTGGCTTCAGGCGATAGATTGATTGATCCTGGACAAACGAATTTCTTGTAGCCACTTGTAGATTTTTTTATTTTTATAGTAGAACATCCTAAATCTCTGAGGTTTAGTTCCACTACTTGGTACATAATCTGGAAAATTTCAAGGTGAAAATCATGTACCTTATTTTTCCAAATAATTTGTTTATTATATAATTAAGTTTTAAAATAACTTCTAAATATGATGTTTATCTCTCACTGTATCACTTGTATCTATGGCCATTGTTCAAAAAAGAAGAGAAAGATTTGCATGTCAAGTGCACTGCCTCACAAATGTGCTTCTGGAAGAATGGTTACATATTCCCATAAACACAGGCCTATACCTTCTGCAAAACCTTCCCAGAAGACTTGAAGCTGTTATTATTTATTTTGCTGATTTCTTTGTGTGAACATGTTTTTGTTTTTTTGTTTTTTTTAGTTATTGAAGAGGGTGGTGTGAAGATGAAGCTGACAGTTGTCGACACTCCGGGCTTCGGAGACCAAATCAATAACGACAACTGGTGAGATTTCCAGCTCCGGCACTGTTAAAGCATCATAAATGTCATAATAACTGCCTTATATCACCGAGGACAAATCTCCACCTTTCATCTTTAAAAACTGTATTCAAGGTTTAGGAGTGAATCAGTGCTCCCTCAAACATGTTTTTTCCTGCCTCGGTGATGTTTTGCATCTGTTGTATCCACAGCTGGGAGCCCATCTCCAAATACATCAATGAGCAGTATGAGAAGTTCCTGAAGGAGGAGGTCAACATCACCAGAAAGAAGCGAATCCCGGACACCAGGGTGCACTGCTGTCTCTATTTTATCTCCCCAACCGGACACTCGTAAGTTAAGCTTTGGCTGTATGGAAGTAAATCAATCAGACCATCTTTGAGTATCTGATTCTTTAAGGGATGTGGGGTTTTTTAAGTAATCTGTAAATGGTAAATGGCCTGTATTTGTATAGCGCTTTACTTGGTCCTTAAGGACCCCAAAGTGCTTTAGACATTCAGTCATTCACCCATTCACACACACATTCACACACTGTATGCTGCTGCTGCAACCCGTTCTCACTCCCAAAGCGTAACATTTTACGCTAGGTGACAAATCGTCACCATATTACGTTTTCGGCTACCCACCACGTTCCTAAATGACGACCTCGGGAAACAGAGGAAATATGAGAACCGTCTGGACTGAATCTACACATGTTCGCTCTTTTTCTTCAAATCGCTTAGAAACACGCTATTTAACATCATTAAAGTCCTGGTTAAGGTCAGGAATACGGTTATGGTCAGGGCTAGGGATAAGGTTAGGTTTAGGGCTGGAATACAGGGCTGGAACGTCTATTACCGCGGGATCGTCATTGCACTGGATTCCAGCCATAACCCGCTGCGTACCATAAGAACGCCGAAGGTCTCCTTTCGTGTTCCTCAGGAACGCCGCGGGACGTGACAAAACGTCGACATGTTACGCCTCAGGAGTGAGAACGCTCTGGCTGGCTGGTGAGACACACACGCACAAAGCTCACAGTGTTAATGTCTCTTTATTCAAAAAACATTTAATTTCACTTTATCAAAGCCTTAAATTGAGTGTGCTACTTTATATTGCAGACAGCACACACCTCTCTCTCCTTTTCACAATTAGCTCCTGCTGACAAGTGTGAAATTGCTTTCTAATGAATAAGTGGATACAGTCTTTTGTGTATTACTGCCAGCGTATCTCATCTTTCTTAGCCAGGGTAATTGAGACCGACAGGATGTCTTATGTGCAAGCAAACAAGAGCTGGGACACAACCTTTGTTCAATGATAAGCCCACTTGAAAAAAAAAGATTCTCACTGTAAGTCTTTTGTAATCGCTGCAAGGCCAAGGAAAGGTAATGAGACGTATGAGAAATGACAAATGAATTCCAGACGCCTCCTTCTTTTATTCAGTGTTTATGAGCTTCCACATCTCCTATATCTGCCCTCATGACTCACTGTAATTATTTGTCCTTCTGCTTCAGTCTTCGACAGCTAGATACTGAGTTCATGAAGCGCCTGAGTCACTCGGTCAACATTATTCCCGTCATTGCCAAAGCAGATACACTGACCATTGAGGAGAGACAGGAGTTCAAGCAGAGGGTGAGTTTCACCAATAATCTGACTTCAAAATGTCTTTCTTCATAGATATTTACTGATGAGTGTGCAAAGCTGCTGTAATAAACATTTTATACCAGCAGTGGATCCAAGTTACTAAACTCTACAGCTAAAAAGTTTTCTCAGTGATTTGACTTCTCATCCAGAACCTCAGTGACCTTCAGTGAACTTTTTTCTGATTACTTCATGTTCTCAGGCACTAATTTTTAAGTCTTATTCAATGATCCCAAGGCCAGTAAACACAGAATGTGGGGCGAACTGTTTGCCAGCCACTAGCAATTTGGCCCAGAGACAGTGATTTACCTGTCAAGTCATACACCTGAAAATACCAACAATAAGATAAGATAAGATAAGATAAGATAACCTTTATTAGTCCCACACGTGGGAAATTTGTTTTGTCACAGCAGGAAGTGGACAGTGCAAAAGTTATGAGGCAAAAATTAGAATACAATAAGAATAAATACAGTACACAACTGTACAGAATAGAATAAAATAAAATACTATATACAGTAGAATAAAATAAAATAAATATACAATAAGATAAAAATAGAATACAAATACAAATACTATATACAACTGAGTAAAAATACAACGATGACAGAAAGGATTATTGCACTTAGTATTATTGCATATGTATGGATGTGTGTGCTTGATCAGTTAAAGTCTTTATTATGGAGTCTGACAGCAGTGGGGAGGAAAGACCTGCGAAATCTCTCCGTCCCACACCGTGGGTGCCGCAGTCTCCCACTGAAGGAGCTGCTCAGTGCTGTCACAGTCTGCTGCATGGGGTGGGAGATGTTGTCCAACAGGGATGACAGCTTAGCCGCCGTTCTCCTGTCACTCACTACCTCCACTGGGTCCAGAGGGCATCCTAGAACAGAGCTGGCCCTTCGGATCACCCTGTTCAGTCTCTTCCTGTCCCCAGCAGAGATGCTGCCGCCCCAGCAGACCACACCATAAAAGATAGCAGAAGCCACAACAGAGTCATAGAAGGTCTTTAGGAGTGGGCCCTCCACTCCAAATGACCTGAGTCTCCGCAGCAGGTACAACCTGCTCTGCCCTTTCCTGTAGAGGGCGTCTGAGTTATGAGTCCAGTCCAGTCTGTTGTTCAGATGAACACCAAGGTACCTGTAGCTGTCCACAGCCTCAATGTCCATACCTTGGATGTTCAGTGGTTGCAGTGGAGAATGCTTGTGCCTGCGGAAGTCTACCACCAGTTCCTTGGTTTTACTGGCGTTGATCTGGAGGTAGTTCAGCTGGCACCAGTCCACAAAGTCTTGGGTCAGACCTCTGTACTCCTTGTCGTCCCCATCAGTGATGAGGCCGACTATTGCAGAGTCATCAGAGAGCTTCTGCAGGAAGCACTGGGTGGAATTGTGGGAGAAGTCTGCAGTGTAGATGGTGAAGAGGAACGGAGCCAGAACCGTTCCCTGTGGGGCCCCCGTACTGCAGACGACCCTGTCCGACACACAGCCCTGAGTCCTCACATACTGTGGTCGGTCGGTGAGGTAGTCCAGGATCCAGGTAGTGAGGTGATGGTCCACTCCAGAGTTCACCAGCTTGTCCTTTAGAACCGAGGGAAGAATGGTGTTGAAGGCACTGGAGAAATCAAAGAACATGATTCTCACAGTGCTTCCAGCGGTCTCCAGGTGAGCGAGGGAACGATGTAGGAGGTGAATGACGGCATCATCCGCGCCAATGCCAGGCTGGTAGGCAAACTGAAGTGGGTCCAGTGATGAGCTTATTAGGCGCCGAAGCTGAGCCAGGACCAACCGCTCCAGGGTCTTCATCAGGTGGGATGTCAGAGCCACCGGCCTGTAGCTGTTGAGGTCCTTGGGGCGTGAAGTCTTTGGCACTGGTACAACACAGGAGGTTTTCCAGAGCTGTGGAACTCTTCCCAACCTCAGGCTCAGGTTGAAGAGGTGCTCCATCACCCCACACAGTTGGTCCGCGCAGGACCTGACGACCCTCGAGCTGATGCCATCTGGGCCCGCTGCCTTCTTGCCATTAATCCTCCTCAGTTCCCTCCTAACCTGGGTGGTTGAGAGAGACAGGCTGGAGCCTTGTGTTGAGTGTGTATTGGATGCTGTTGTTGGGGGTGGGGAGGAGTGAGCAGGGTGAACAGAGGAGGTGTGAAGTGTCTGAGGTGGAACAGCAGCAGTGGGGGTGGGTGAGTCTGCAGCCGATGTTGCAGACTGCCTCATGGCTGAGTCAAATCTGTTGAAGAAATGATTCAGTTCATTTGCCCATCTCACATCCCTCCCAGGCAGAGAGTTCTGCTGTTTGTCATCAATCATCAAACCGATTGTTCAGATAGTTTTAAATGTGAAGAAATGCAGTATTTTTACCTGTTCCTGTCCATCCAACGCAACAGAATTAAGAAGGAGTTAAAAAGAACATCTGTGTGCAGATAAACTATTAGTTTAATTTGCTAAGAAATTCAATTCAATTCAGTTTCCCAGATTTCTTGTATGCTTTGCTGATAGTAGTCATCCACCCCAGGATTCGGTGTTTACTCCACTACATTTATTTTAAAGTTTCAGTTACTAATTACATTTCTGACATAGATTTATAATATTAAATATAAATCTACTAATAGATTATTAATCTATGGTAGGTTTATAAATTAAGCTAGCAATGTATGAAATCATTTTCCTGTTTGTAGGCCAGTAAAAATACACAAGGGGCTGGTAAAAGTCTGTCCTGGCTGTTTCCCAGTAGAGAAAAACTGAATGAATTAATTAAAAAAGACTTTTGGTCCTTTGTGCAGTGTTGGGTACCGTTGTGACTAATGTTTTTTTTTTTATTCATTTTTCCTTGCTTTTGTCTGCACTCCAGGTAAGGAAGGAGCTGGAGATGAGCGGGATTGAATTTTACCCACAAAAAGAGTTTGATGATGACATGGAAGACAAGAGTGACAACGATAAAATCAGAGTAAGTCGCTTTTTTGTCTCACACGATATTTGTGGAGCGATTTTCTTCCTTGGCATTAGAATGAATCTTTGATACTCAGCTTTAACCCAGCCTCTTTCACAAACATGCAGCGAGTCCTCTAAGCAGAATGCCAGGGCACTTGGGCATGTGGTGCATTTGTTTCATCTCATAAACCTCGCGTAGCTCTCTTCGGTACACTGAACCATGTTCAAATGTCTCTGTTCACAGGAGGCGATGCCCTTTGCTGTGGTGGGGAGTGACAAAGAATATCAAGTGAACGGCAAACGGGTTCTGGGGAGGAAGACAGCGTGGGGAATTGTGGAGGGTGAGTCAAACGCTCTCCATGAACGAGTTTCTCTGTTTGGTTTTTTACACAGGACTGATGTTGATGGATTTCTGTCTCTGTTTTTCTGCTTTGTGCAGTTGAAAATCCAAACCATTGTGAGTTTGCTCAGCTGAGAGATTTTCTGATCAGGTAAAACTTTCTTTTAAAGCATTTTTTTAAATAATAATGCAAAAAAAGTGGAATAAAGAAATGAAATAAAACAAAGAAAAAAATCACTTTTCTCTATTAGTAAACTTTCTCAGCATTTTAACAGTAACACAAATGTATTGATCGCCAGTAACTGGTCACTTTATTAGGTACACAGTGCTAGTATTGGGTTGCCCAACACCGTCTGACTGAACTGATGATACAAGGCAGAGTATCCATGCTTTCAGGATGTTAAGGCCAAAATTCTGACTCTAGCATCTGAATGTCACAGCAGAAATTAGTCCTCTTCAGACCAGATGACATTTTTTAATTTTCCATTGTTTTGTAAGCCCCTGCAAACTGCAGCATCAGTTTCCTGTTTCTAGCATTGCTGAAGTGACACCTAGAGTGCTCTTCTGCTGCTGTACCCCATCTGCTTCAAGATTCAGTGTGCTGTGCATTAAGAGATGCTCTTCTGCATACCTGGGTTGTAACAATTATTTAATTGAGTTAATGTTGCATTCCTACCAGCTTGAAGCAGTCTGGCCACTCTCCTCTGTTCTCTGACATCAACAAACCTTTTTTTCTTAGAGAATTTCCACTCACTGGATATTTTCTTGCTTTCAGACTACTCTCTGTAAACTCTAGTTATGATTTCTGATCCTCAATTTGAACTTCTACGTGCCTGGATGCATTGAATTGCTGCCATGTGATTAGCTAATTACCGTATTTCCCAGACTACAAAGCGCACCTGAATATTAGCCGCACAAGCTAAAATCAGGGGAAAATCCTGTTTTGTAGCCGCACCTGACTAAAAGCCGCAGGTGTTTCAATGTTGACTTATCATATGTAAGAGAATATGCACAAATCGAATTGTCAGGAAAGAGATGGCTGTTTGGAGACATCACTTTTATTAATATTTTTAAAAACAAGTTATAGGTACATATTTGCATAACTTTTTAGGTATATGTACAAGTAGCGGTAATTACAAGTAGGAAACATGTACTGTGCTTCATAAATGAGTAACAAATGTAGTACATAACAATAACCTAGGGCACACCAGAAAAATAGATTGGACTACCTTTTAGGCTCAGGTGCAGTGACACGGCTTTAACAAGAAGAAAAGTCAGTCATTCACCACCATCTTCCTGCGCACTAAAACCACCAAAGTCCTCTTCTCCAGTGTCGGATACGAACAGGCTCAGGATGGCTACGTCATCCACTCTCACCTTCATTCCTTTGTTGTCAGTGTCAGAGTCGAACACCCTCTGAAGGGCCGTGGCGGTGTCCTCCTCTCCATCATGCAGCAGTCCAGCCGTTGGTGATCATGGATGTTTTTACACTTTTCCACGCTGTCAGATTCCACCGGTGGAGTTGGGCATAACTTGCTTTTCGCACGTTTATCGCCGCACATCATCCACGACTCCCGCTGAACGCATAGCACTACTTTGAAGTTTATTTTCGCGCTACTTTTACGGCACTATGTTGCCTGGCGGATGGACATGTGACCAACATACCACTCTTGAACCCGATACTGTGTGTCTGATCACATGCCCTTCCGCCAGGCAACGTAGTGCCGTACAACACCGGAACAAACAAAACAAATCGTCTTACGATATGACAAAAATCATGGACAATCCATAGAAAAGCCGCACCTGACTAAAAGCTGCAGGGTTCAAAGCTGGTGCAAAAAGTAGCGGCTTATAGCCCGACAATTACGGTAGATATTTGTGTTAACAAGCAGTTGAGCAGGTGTACCTAACAACGTGGCCAGTGAGTATAAATTTTATTTAAGTGACCATTTGGTCTCTGAAACGTCAGAAAAACAGTTAAAATTTGTAGGGTGGATTTTTGTTCTGATAAACTGGGATAGTTTAACATCACAGAAAGAGCAAATATTCACATTTAAAATAAATTACATTAATTAATTATAGTTTTATGAAGATGGGTCCTGATCAGCTATTTGATAAAGCGATTAAAGTTATTTCCTCTCTAAAAAAAATTAAAGCATTTTTATTATAATAAATGTGAAATGTTTTCAAAGCGGTTTTTGAATATAAGACTATGCAATTTTCTTTGATTGTGAGAAAACGTTTGTTTCTTGTGTTTGCTGTTGTGGAGGATTTTACCATTTTATTACCACAACACAAGAACAACAATACTGTATTTCAAAACACAGTAACTCTTATCCCTTCCTCTGTCAAATGAACGTACTTAACTAATAACTCGCCCACTCTCTGTATTTACATTCATCTTTTGAAGGTCTCACCTGCAGGATCTGAAGGAAGTCACTCATAACATTCACTATGAAACGTACCGTGCCAAGAGACTGAATGAGAACGGAGGTCTGCACCCCATATCATCCGCTGATACCCAGGAGAGCAACCTGTAGTCAGAGAGAGAGTGAAAACAATGAGTCCAATAGATGAATCTACAAAATACTATAATCCTTATCACCACAGCATTGCTGCATGCGTGGAAAAGAAAATTAATGTGTTAAGAATTGGTGTCATTTAATCCCCAAACTCCACCCATCCTTTTCTTCATATTCTTCCCCACCAAGCATATCAAACCCCTCTGTTACCATTTTCCATTCATCCCAGTGAGTCTTTGGAGGAAAGACATAATGTAAAAGAGACTTAGTGCCGGTAACGTTTTTTCCACTGCCAGCGCCTTTTCTCATTGTTCAGAGTGTACATGGAAAGTGCTCGTGTCTCTCGTGTACGGGAGGCTGATTTTTAAGCCTGTGTGTTGTGTAGCAACTGACAGCCGAGTTTAGGCAAACAAAGTGATTTGCTCTAAATATTAAAATCATAATTCCTGTGTAGCAACGGTGCATTAGCCGGCTCTGCGGCTGGCTCTGTTGAAATTGCCGATTTTAAATTCTGAGCAGCAGCTGTTCATTTAAAGGAAAAATCCCAGCGGCTTTACTGTCAAGAGGGTTTAACGAACATTACAAGCTGTGCTGCCTTCTTTAATAACCGAGTCCACGAAGGAAAATAATGAACTTTCTTTTGAGAGTTGCAGCATTAGTCACATGTAAAATGCAGTTTATAAGGAGTCCACATGGTGAGTGACTGCTCGCTGCCGATTCAGTGATTCACGGTAACAAACACAAATTTAGCTGTTCATGCAGATGCAGCTCACCGTGTTTTGTTTCAGCACAGTGCTCATACAGGAAACTGCATCTGTGTTCACTTGCAGCAATGAGCTGTGCTCTTGGAGTTCCACCATGCATATTTTATCAAGGTTCAGACTGATTTTTGTTAGATGTTTCCTGTTTAAATAGTTGACAGGCAATAGATGCAGGAATTATAACAAATTGCATATACAAGCTTTCCCAGCTGGAATGACTTGTTTTTGGTCTTTGAGAGCCACTACTATCAGTGCAAACGTTGTTTTGTTTAAATATTTTTGGTTGTTGTTTTTTTCTTTATCATTACCATTCATGGCAAGTAGCCATTCAATAAAATATTATATTAAACCCGAAAGAAATCCCATCACTGGTTTGGTCATCGCATCTTTTTTTGCACACAGGAGAGCAGGAGAATTGAAATATTTTTGATATATTTGTATTAATATTCAATTCCTGCTGTGCACCACTTGGTGGCAGCATGCTGCCACATTAAAGAAGTTTAACGGAGCAGCTCCATCTGCCCCAGATGTTCTGACTGCTGAGATTTTTTTCTCAAATATGTCACATCCAGTTCTGATGAAGTTTACTCTTCTGCTGTCAGCAGCAAAGACATTGGGTTTACAAAAAACTTTGATAATATCACCCTTTTCATAATATTATAACATTGCCAAGGGGTTTGCCAGGTTTTCTTCAGGAACTAAATATGATATTCTGCCACAGGCTGTCTGCATTAGAACACAAACTACAAATCTTTTAACATATCTCAATCTTTTTTTAAATCCATTCAGCCTTTTTAATCAATCATATGTATTTGTATGATTTTGAAATCAAGTGTGTGCAACAGTATGGTAGTAGTTGTCCGTGATTTTAGTGCAGTCAGAGGTTTTCGAGCAGAAATCTGAAGCAGTGAACCATTGTTCCTGTGTTTGTGTGCATGCTTGTGTTAATATTGCCTGTTTGATTACAGCCAGTCGGTTGACTCATTCCTGCAACTTCACATCCACTAACAGTTACTGTGTTTCTGAATGCGTGATGTGTAAATTTAATTGATATATCATAAGGTAAAGCGCTGCTGTCTTACCCCCAAACTAAGCTGATGGCCCCCACGCACACACGTATCACCCAGCCCTGTCACTCAGTGAAAACTCGCAATGTACATTTATTTAACAACTTCTCACAAAGTTGCTGTGACACACCGATGTATGATTTCCTGTCTTGTATGGAGTTATTTTTACATTATGTCTTATTATTGTAACTTATTCTTTATTTAATAAAAACACATGATCAAGTTCTTAGAATTTTGTCATGATTTCTCTTCTGAATGTTCACATAACCAACTGTGTGTTGTTGTCTTTGTTGTTTATAATGATGTTACATACTGTGTCAGTGAAGTCCATAATTTATTGGAAAAAGATGCTCTTTTTATAGTTTTAGTGTACACCACCACTGTGGATTGTAAATCAATCAATATGCGATTGACGTGCAGACTTTCAGCTTTAATTTGAGAGGTTTTACAATTTCAGAGGTTAAAAATTAATGGGACAATTGACTCACAAGCAGTTCATGGCCAGGTGCTCCCTTGTTGTTTCATCAGAAATAAAGCAGACATGAAGTCAATTCAAAGTGATTAATTTTTATTTTATAGCTTTTCATTGCAATTTTAAATATGAATCCAAAAATAATCTCAAGTGCAACCGAAGAAGATCATCATTAAACAGAAAAAGACTGAAGAAAAAACTTGGATGAGTGACGACACATTTCTCCTACTGAAAACACTCCGTCCAAATGAAGAGAATCAGCTGTCTAGGATGTCCTTAACTGCAGCGGTCCCCAACCCCCAGGCCTCGAAACGGTACCGGTCCGTGAATCGTTTGGTACCGGGCCGCGAGAGTTGAGGCTCAGGTGTGAAATGTATGGTTTTCAGGGTTTTTATCGGTTTTCAGCGTTATTTTGTTATCGTTTTTATCGTTAACTCGGTTTTCCTGGGTCTTTTCACGTGTGTTATGAATAAATCTCCTTTTTCCGGTACCGGTACTGGTTTTATTTTGTTGTATTTATCCGCCTTAAAGGCCGGTCCGTGAAAATATTGTCGGGCATAAACCGATCCGTGGCGCCAAAAGGGTTGGGGACCGCTGCTTAACTGGATGAGCATCAAGACAACAATATGTATTCTTAAAAAGAATTAACGTACTGAACAGCTCAGCAGTACATGCATGGTGACAAAATTATTTACACCATTAAAAACAATATTATATTATCTAATCAAGTCCAAAACTTGAGGAGGTGTCATTGTCAAACTCTAATATCAACAGACACCTTGAAATAAAGGAGGTTTACAGCAAGGTGCAGACCAATGGTTAAAAAAAAAACATAAAAGCCTTCACAAGTTTGTAAATGAAAATTAAAAAAAATATATTTGGACAGATGAAACCAAGATGAACTACCAGAATGATGCGAAGAGAAAAGTGTGCAAAATGAGAGAAACAGGTCTTAATGAAGCATATCACGTCATCTGTCAAACATAGTCGAGGCAGTGTGGCACGGGCATTTGCGGCTTCCAGTTTTTGATCACTAGTAGTTATTTATCATGTGACTGCCAATAGAAGAAGCAAGGACCATACTCTCTGCTGATTCCACCAAATGCTGCAAAACTGACTGCACAGAGCTTTCAAGGATTCAAGAATTCAAGGAAGCTTTATTGTCATTCACATCACATGTTTAAGCCCTGTGTTTTCCTTTGTCTCTGTTGTGATCTTCATCAACCCTCATTTCATGCTGTGTGTTCTGTCTGCCTGCTTAGTTTTTTTGTGTTTTCAGTTTAGTTTCTGTATTCTCAGTTTAGTCAATTTTCTGTTTTGCCATCTAGCAATAAATCTAAGTTTGAGTTGACTTTCTGTCTCCGAGTGTCTGCACATCCTCCTTACCACCACTCCTGCCTGCACACAGCCTTCACGTGACACCCAAGAGTTTCTCAAGGCAAAGAAAAAGGCCAATTCAGTCACCTGATCTGATCTCAGCCAAGCAAAGTGTGGTCTAAGGAGCTTGGAAACGAAAAGCGTCTGGACTTCTTTAAGTTTCATGAAGACGTTTCACCTGGCACAACATAGAAGAGCCACCTCAACGGGACAAGACTCAGCTGTCCATCTGCATCTAAAGGACAAAGGTCAGTCTTTCAAGGACGCCAATGTTCATAATTTGGACAGAGAACACAGATGGTTTGAAAGAGGAGTGAAAGAAGCCATCTATGTCCACTGTGAACGACCATCTTTAAACAGAGGCGCTGATTTACGACACCAACTGTTTGCCATCTATAATCCAGTTTTGAGATCCCTTCTCAGACGCCTTAATGCCCACTCACATCCTGGGCCATCTGACCTCAGGAAATCACATGATAGGGTGGGGGTAGGTTTCACAATGGTTTCACCTGAAACCTTGGCTGATTGTGACCTACACCCGTTTTCACACCTTGGCTCGTGTGATTATGTAGAGGATCAATAGGGGGTCCATGACCCCCTTGGGGGGGACACTCCCATAGGGCTTAAAATCTGGGACTCTCCACCATTTGCTGTTAGAACTAGAATTGAATGTCTACAGACATGTCTTGGTCTCGAGACCACTTTTATGTGGTCTTGGTCTCGTCTTGGTCTCAACGGACTTTTGTCTTGGTCTTGTCCACACGTACCCGGGTATTTTTGAAAACGCAGATTTTTCTATGCGTTTGCACCTTTCATCCACACGTAAACGGCGTTTTTGGTCACTGAAAACAGAGATTTTTAAAAACTCCGGCCAGGGTGGATATTTTTGAAAACTCCGTTTTTGCATTTACATGTGGACGAGAAAAACAGAGAAAACGCAGAAAACGCAGTGTCAAAGGTGTGCGCCTTTTTTGACGTCACACTGTGCGCCACGTTATTGTTTCGGTGAAATTAATTTCTATAATACTGTTACTGTTAATTGTACTCTCTGCAGTGTTTAAATGCTTACATACACACACACAGTTACTGTCCCTCCACACATACGACTCGGTTCTGCTTCTATGCCCCATCCTTGTTTACTATTTCCCACCGAGGCTACTAGACTTCTCATTGGCCAACATTTCTGCATGGTTAGGAATATATCGCCACCTGTTGCTTTGGCATGTTCATAGCAGCGATTTCCTTCATTTCTGCGTTTACGTGTGGACGGGATTAAATAATGTAAATATGATGGTGTATCACAAAAGATTGATATCAAACTGATCACTTGGTTGCGTTACTTGCTCTTTGAGTGAATCAACAAATGGATAAATAAAAAGCCGAACAACATCAATGCTGATTTTTTAGAGAGTCTTAGCTCACATTTCATATTTTCAGTTGTTACCCTCAACAGCTAAACAAACTCTCTAAATCGGTTTCAACTGTGTACTGATGAATACAACAATGGACATAAGGAGCTTCTTCCAAAGAAAAAACTCAGATAGATGTTATTTTATATATTATGCTTTGTATGTTGTTCAGTATATCTATGCAAAACAAGAGGAATTTCAATACACAGCAGTATATTCACAGTTGAAACCAGATATTTACATACACTTTAGAGAGAAAACATAAAAACTTTTTTTTTTTACTGTTAAACCCCCCCCTGTCCCCTTCTGGCTGCCTCTGCCTCAATTTTATCCCACAACTTAGACGTTCACATTACTCACACTCTCATTACACATACATATAGGATCTTGGGGGTGGGCACGATACACGGAATCCAAAGTACCATCAGGGTGTACACCCCACCCCTGGCGTCGTTGCCCACCTCTCAATTTTAAATCCACGTAGACATTGAGGGCTAGCAGGAGGGGCTATGCGCTTACCTGCTGCTCTCTGGCAGGTAGCTCCAAGCCCTCCTGGGTTTTAAATGCACCTTAGAACACACATGCATCAACACTACAATGAGCGGGTGGAGGGAGGTTTGGAGTCTTCTCTCACCCCCGTTCTCTGCGACCTGCTGGAGCGGGGGGGCTAGGAGGAGGAGTTGGCCGTCCGACTGCGGTCTGGAGTGTGGGGCCTTCCTGCTGCTGCGGAGTCGGGGCGGTCTGCCTCCCCCCACCGCAGGGAAAAGGGTAACACCACCTGGGTCTGGGTGCAGTTCCCCCCTCCAGGGGCAAGGGTACCTAGACCCGGTTTGTAGAGTACGCTTGGGGAGTGTGATTGTGTGTACAGCGTCTCTTCATGTCTGTCTCCACGTTGGTTGAGTGTGGAGTAAGTGCATATGAGAGCATGAGGGTGGGAATGGATGTTTGTATCTGTGTGTGCCTGTATGTCTGTGTCTATATGTCAGGTTGGGTGTCAGGCGCCACCTCTCTGGGGACATCTCAGGCCCTCCAAGGTTTGG